AAATACTGATTTCATCTTTTTAGAAACATTTCATTGTGTACATGGCCCAGAATTCATTTAACCCTCATCCTTATATAGATGGAAAATAAGGCTTTTTCCAATGTTTGTACCTAAATTACTCTGCCCTTGTGGAAATGTATCATCAGGACGAATTTCTAGAATGACTGAAAGCATTGACCTCCAGAGATTATCTGACCTCTTTTTTGGGGAGGAGGGAATAGTTCTTGGGATTGAACCTAGGGCCTTATGCCTGTAGGCAAGTGGTCTACAACTGAGCTATACCCTTAGCACCCACCCCCACCTCACCCTTCTGAGTAGAAGGGAGTGTGCAGCACGTGTAAATTGGAGCCCTTGGAGCCCTTAATCCTCTTTGTGACATAATTTTTAGTGAGCTGTTCAGAGTGCAGCTGGCAGTTGGTGGTGATGGCCCCAGGGAGTGGGATTGCCAGTGTTTTGTTTGAGGAGTGGTGCTGTCATTATTTTACCATGCATTATTCATCCAGCTTCCATTTGTTCAGGCAAGATGAGCAGGCATTGTTTAGTTCGTCCTATTATTATTTTATTTTAACATTGGCTTTAAAAAAAAAAGCAGTTTTAGATTCACAGTAAATGTGAGCAGAAGATACAGAGATGTTGTCCTGTATACTCTGCTCTGACATATACAACCTCCACCATGATCACCTTCCACCAGCCTGGGACATTTGTTACATGGTGAACCTACACTAACACATCTTCATCTCCCTGAGCCTGTAGTTTAATCCAAGGTTCACTTTTAGTGCTGTACCTCCTACATTTATTTGTTTTCTAAGCCTTGAATTGTTTAGCAAAAGACATCCTCTGGAGCCAGGCACAGCAAGTTGCTGTGTTCTTTTCTCCAAGCCTGTGATAGTCCTGGAGTTAGGACACCCAGCAATTGATTTCCAGTTTTGAAGGGAAAGGTCCAGGTGAGCGATTCTAAGCTATGTTCTTCCAGAACCAAATGGTGAGTCAGCTTGACTGGAAGACTTTCCAGGAATGCTCACACAAACATTTCCCTTGTGGATACTGTTTTGAATTTCCATCTGGTATATAGTAGTATTTACTTTATGCTCTTGGTTATTGGCAGTTTGCTTTGAGGAGTAATGACACACATACACCTATATCTTTTAATTTTTGGGATGTTGGGTTTACATACACTACTTTGCCTACTCCTCCTAGCTGCCTTGCCTACCCCCAGCTCACAGTATAATATGTGTATGTATGTATGTATATGTATATATGTTGATAAATATGACATATCATACTCTTTTACTATATAGGGTAAAGTGAACTTTGAAAAACGTAATCCATACAGTGACATAAGGCTTTAATGAGGAGTAGGATCAACTAGTGTGTCTTTATTTTCACATTTTCCATGATCACATCCTTTCTCACTGTTTATTTGCCTTTAAATGTTTGTATCTACTCATTTTCCCTTCTGTGGTGATAGGAAGTTTAAGTAGTGATTCTTCGATGAGAAACTTCTATTATGGGAGGTATTAGCTTTCTGTCACTGTAACAAATATTGGAAGTAATAAACTTATAAAGAGAAAATGCTTATTTTGGCTCACCATTGTGGAGATTCCAGGCCATGATTAGGTGGCCCTGGTACTTTAGGCCTGTGATGAAGCAGCGTATCATGACTGGAGCATATGGCAGACTAAAACTACTCACCTCAGGACTGGGAGCCAAAAGAGAACAAGAAGGGAGCCAGGGTCTCCCAGTTCCCTTCACTGACCTGAAGACCTCTCACTAGGCTCTATCTCTTAAAGTTTTCACCACCTTTTCCTAGCTCCATAATGGGACCAAGCCTTTACCTTTGGGAGGACACTTAAGATCTAAGCGATGTGCTCTGCTTCTTAAATATTTTCTATTCCTAAGTAGGATATCACATTTAAAATTGAAATATAGTAAGAAAAGTTACCTGTGGCCTTGGCTTAAGAGTAAAACCAGTGAAGGAAGATAATAGGGAAAAGTTTGAGGAGGCCGAAGAAGAAGGACAGCCCAAAGAGTCAAGCCAGCTGGGGAGAATGTGAATTTGAGAGAAAGTTGGGCATGTGACTCTAAAAAGGTCAATAAAATTGGAGATTAAAAATATGGATGAATGAATTATAAGGGCGATTTAGCCTGTACAAATACAAGCAGTAGTTTAGGATTTCATATGTGTGATCCTTTGGTTCAGCCTGAGTAAAATTTATTTTACAAAGCAGTGGCCTAGTCTTAGAAATCAGGAGCCGTCCTTTGAGCCATGCATGGTGATTCATGCCTGTAATTCCAGCTGTTGGAGAAACTAAGATCTGAAGGATTACTTTGAGGCTAGCCCGGGCAAAATGTTTTCAAGATCTCAAATCAACTAAAAATTTAAAATTGTGGGGCATCGTGATTCATGACTGTCATATCAGCTATGTGGGAAGCAATAAGTAGAATCACAGAGTTAGGCAAAAACACAAGACATTATTCAAAAAGTAACTAAAACATCAGGAACTGGTGGCTCATACCTGTAATCCTACCTACTCAGGAGTCTGAGAGCTGAGGATTGTGATTTGAAGCCAGCTTGTGCTAGAAAGTTCATGAGATTCATTTCCAGTTAACCATTAAAAAGCTGCAATGGGAGCTTTGGTTCAAGTGGTAGAACATTAGCCTTGAGCAACAAATAAACAAAAAGCTCAGCAGAACCCAGAACCTGAGTTCAAGCCCTAGGACAGGCAGGGAAAAAAAAAAAAAAAGACAAGCCTAAAGCAAAAAGTGCTAGTGTGTGGCTCAGGTGGTAGAGTACCTGCCTAGAAAGTTTGAGGCCCTGAGTTCAAACTTAAAAAAAGTGACTTGTATTACTGATGTAAATGAGAGGGAAGACATTAGCAAACTCTGAGGTAGAAAATTAATACTGAACAACAAAGGGCTCAAATGGTGGCTGCTTCATGAAATGAAGCTTGGGAAATGACAAGATTTCTAAACCTTACAGCATTATAATTTGTTATCTTACCTGTAAACCTATAATATAGTCTCATTACATGTTATATTTATAATATAGTATTTTAACCAATGCTTGTTTTGAAGCTTTGCACAGGCCCTAACTTTGATGTAAATTCTTATTAAGAAATTGAACTGTATGACTTCAGTTTGCTATGGAATATAGTGTTAGTCCACCCAGATTTGGTTGTAATGCCAACCAGGATAATCCCTTATGAAATTCCTTAATGGTTACTGTAGGTCCTTCCCACACAGCATGTATATCAAGTGAGAACATCTAAGGAGAGTCCAGGAGACTGTAAGCCTAAGTCCTTTTACCATCTCTGCTTTATAAATGAGGAGACTTAAAAGGATTAATAACTTGCTCACTGGTAGGTAGCAAGCTTGGGTACAGACTTGACAGTGTGACTTTGCACTTGAGCTGCTAATCCTATGATCTACTATGTTATACTGTAATAAAGACCTAGCTTCCCCCAAATAAGAGGTGAATATAGTGATAGTTGTGCAGCAGGAGTTCTGTGACTCTGCTGGGCCCATGCCCCACTGACCAGCCTAGGAAGCTTACCCTTAGAGACATGAGGTTTTGATAAATAGTGTGTTTTGGGCTTCAGGTTGCAGACTTCCATTGTGTCCTCTAAAGATGAAGAACTATGTAAAGCCCTGGCCATCCCAGCATGTTTTGAGGCTCATACAGTTGTTTTTTGTTGTTGTTATAGTTGGCAGCTTCAATTTTATCAGGTCCTATTCTTGAGTCCAATTCCTTGTTTTTCTTGTTCTTCTTCCCTTTGTCACTTGTCAAGTTCTTTGCTTCTTTTCTTCCTGTTAGCCATTCCCAGAAATCTTTTTTTTTGGCTGAAGAGCAATGATTGTGGTACTTCTAATGAATTGTGCCTTTCCTGTTTATTATTGGCCATCTCCCAAGCCATTAAATGCTCATTAAAGACCAGTTCTGGAAAGCTATGTCATCACCCTCTAAACTCCTCTGTGTGCCCTGTGGTCAGGGTGCCTAGAAGGATCGTCAGTTTGTGTATTGAAAGGTTGGCTTGCCTAAGGCTGGGGTGAATGTCTATAAAGTAATAGCTTAGTACATGATGTCAGCTTGTTCTTCTAAAGTTTAATGCAACTCTGACACTACCTTAAGGAAAACCACACAAGTAAAGGTCCTAGTCCCTAGTGCCCTGACTTCACATGCCAGTTTTAGTCTGGACTTTCCCATTCCTCTCTGGGTGGAGATAAATCTGGGGGCTCCCATTGTACTTTCCTTGAGTTTAGTGTTGCAGGAATAGCTCAGTAAAACTCAAGAAAGCTCTTTACTTACATTTACCTGTCTATTATAAAAGATATAAATATATAAATGAACAGCTGGTTAAAGAGGTCCATAGGCTGAGGTTCAGAAGTATTAGAAGCTCAGGAGCATCCATTCCCAGGGGCATGTAGATACTGCTCAGTAGCTTGGGAACTATGAATCACGGGGGAAGGGCGAAATGTTCCAACCCTTCAAGTCACACAGCTGATTTCCTGGGACAACCAGCCCTCATCCCCATGTGACCTGGGGAAGTCATCAAAGGTCATCATTAGCATAAACTCAAATGTGGTTTAAAGGGGTTCATTATAAATAACAAAACCCTTTGGGGGCATAAGAGGAGGCACAAAAATAGAGGGACAAAGGACAAACAAATGCAGCAATGGTACTCCTTGGTCACTGTGTTAAAAATGAACTATGTAACTTGTGGGTGGGGATGGGAAGGAAAAACTGGGAGAAAGCAAGGGAAATGGTGACATTGTCCAAAAAGAAATGTTCACTTTACCTGACTTATGTAACTGTAACTCCTCCGTACATGGCCTATATAATAACCAAAAAATAATAACAAAAATGTGAAATACCACTTTCCATGGAAAAATCCAGTGGCTTTAGAAACTTTAGTGCTAAGAACCTGGCATAAAGACCAAATAAGCATTTCTTGCTAAGTCACAATACCACACTCTGAGAGTATGTTTGTGTCCTTTTCTAGTTGGCCTGCTGCTGTGGGTCTGCTGGCTGCTCCCTCTGCTGCGGTTGCTGCCCCAAGGTCCGACAGTCCAGGACGACCCGCTTCATGTACGCACTCTACTTCATCCTGGTGGTCTGCCTCTGTTGCATGATGATGTCGCCCAGCGTGGCCAAGCAGGTGAAGGAGCACGTAAGTTTGCCTCTTCTCTGTTCTTCCTATTGCTGATGTTTGATGAGTGTGTGGAAAATGTGAGTTACAGGACAGAGTTCCATGCCGCCATGCTTTGAGGAATACTTATTCTCTCTGAAATTTCCTGAAGCCTCTCTATTACTTTCTGGCCAAGCAGGTAAGCCATTCAAACTTTGATCTTTAGTGGTGATCTGGAGGCAATCTGATGCTGTTGGTAAGGAATGTGTGTGTCAGAGGGCTGTGGGTTTTGTCTTTGCTGTGTTTATAGTTGTTCTGATGAACTGTACAGACTTTGTTTATACACCAGTACATTTTTCCTTCATCATAAGAATGTCTGCCAGTATTCAAGTAGCAGCTGTTAGAAACAATTTGCCCATTTTGGAAAGGATGATACAAGTTAGTTTGGAGAGAGTTCTGTCTCAAGGGGTAATTGTAGATTTTTACACATTTCTTGGGCAGTGTGTACGAATACATGATACTCATGGAGACCGACAGAGAATCTTTTCCTGGAATTTCCTCTCTTCTCTTAGAGTACTTCTCTTGATCAGATTAGGGTGTGTGTGTGTGTGTGTGTGTGTGTGTGTGTGTGTGTGTGTGTGTGTGTGTGTGTGTGTGTGTGTGTGTGTGTGTGTGTGTGTGTGTGTGTGTGTGTGTGTGTGTGTGTGTGTGTGTGTGTGTGTGTGTGTGTGTGTGTGTGTGTGTGTTCTTGAAGAAGTCCAATAATATCATTCCTTTTTCTTCTCTATTCTGAATAGAAAGTAACATGGGAGCAAGGAGATAACAAACCTCACAGCCATTCCTTGTAAGTGATGTGAGACAATGTGGCTGTGTCTGCAGTGAGGTGGTCCTCCTCTTCCTGACTTTCCAGACTGGGCACTGTCAGCATAAAGCATGGCAGACTTTATCTGCCTGGGCACCCATTGAGGGGAAGAGAGCAGCAGCAACAGCAGCAGCAGCAGCATTCTGATGAAGACAGCTCTCATCCCAGGGAACTTGAGAAGAGAACCTAGCTATTCAAGCCCCATCTCCCTTAGAGAATTACCACTTATCCCTCTACCCTTCCAAGCAGTAAGGATCAAGCAGTAAGGAGATGGAGAGAAGCCAGGAGCAGGCCCTAATGATACCGTGCTTCCCCTTGGTGAAGAACTGCTCCTGGGAAGACCATCTTCCCCACCCGGTGCTGACATTATGACTGTGTTAAATATGTTCAAGTGCCTCAAAACAACCATTTCTCCCCTCTCCTCTCCTCCTCTCCCCTCCCCTCTCCTCCCCTCCCTTCCCCTCTCTTCCCCTCCCCTCCCCTCTCCTCCCCTCCCCTCCCTTCCCCTCCCTCTTTTTCTTTCTTTCTTCCTTCTTTTTTCTTCTTTCTTTTCTTCTTCCTCCTTCCCACCCTCCTTCCTTCCTGTCTTCCTCTTTCTTTTGCTCTGGTACCTCATGCATGGTATGCAAACACTATTGCTGCACTACATCCACAGCCCCAAATAAGCATTTTCTTAAGAATTGAGTGATATATTCCTTACCCATTAGTTACAGTAAGCTCTTTGAAGCTTATTCCTGAGCAGTAGATTTATAATGGTCTTGAATGTCATGGAAACTACTGTCAGCAACTTTGGATTGTCTGCTTATATTCAGGAAGGTGCTAGAGTCAGAACTATAGTGTATCTAGTATGACAGTTATCACTCAAAAGAGATGTTGACTCTCCAGAGGCCTCAAATAGGTGGAAGTTATTAGTGCCACAAGAACGATAGATGCCATTCTTTTTTTTTTGTTGTTGTTGGTTGTGGGGCTTGAACTCTGGGCTTGGGCACTGTCCCTGTGCTCTTCAGCTCAAGGCAGGTGCTCTACCACTTAAGCCATAGCACCACTTCCAGTTTTCTAGCGGTTTATTGGAGATAAGAGTCTCACAAACTTCCCTGCCCGGGCTGGCTTTGAACTATGATCCTCAGATAACAGCGTCCTGTGTAGCTAGGATTACAGGCATGTGCCACCAGCCCCCGGCTTGATAGATGCCCTTCTGTAGCACATCAGAAATAGGAGACCGAGGACTTTTCTGCCTCATGAGCCTTTGCCAGCTTTGCTCTGTATTCAATTGTTGGGCTTCCATTCCCTTCCTCTTACCAATATTTAACCCAGTGTATTTGTGGAAAGAAGTCCAGGAATTAGAATGCTGAAAGGGTAGATTAAAAGACAGCAACAACAACAAAAACCCTTACTTCAAAGGTCTACTTAGTTTTCCATTTCACATGTTTGATATATGTTTTGCAATGCTGGGGATGGAACTCAGGGCCTCACACATGCTAGGCAAATGTTTTCTCACTGAGCTATATTCTCAGCCCTCCATTTACTACTTTAGATTTTGTAATAGCTTAATGTTCTCTTAAATTCAATAATAAGTGGCTTGATGATTCATTGAGATCCTGTGGTGGGAAATTCAGTGTCCTAGATATCTGTGACATGATCTCTGCTCTTCAGAAAGCTTTTAGTCCTACTAGAATCAAAGACTTGGATACAAAAGACAAGATTTGTAACTGTACAAACATGGCATTTTTGGGAGGTGAAACATTGCTACTAGAGGTAGAGGTAATTTGAAAACCATATTTTTTAGAACATGAATGCCATCATTTAAACATCTAATTACTATCCAAATAGTCCCCAGCAAATAGTCTCCAACTCTAGCCGGGATGTCCTTTCTGACTGCTGGTCAAGCATTCAAGAAATAGAAGGTATTGACTGGAGGTGTAAGGTAGGATTCATGAAAGACGTGACTTGTATAAATAATAAATATGTTTTAAGTCGTTTACCTGTATCTCCTTCCTTCATCACCACTGTCATTATCCCTGCTGTTCAAATGAGGAAACGAGAGCATCCAGTCATTTAAGTATCTTGTGCCAGGTAGTACTTAAGAACTAAGTAGTAGGGTTAGGATTTGAACCTGAGACAAATGTGTTCTTAAGCTATTGGTTGATGTTACTAGAGGAGGAGAAAAGGCAAGGCAAAGTATGTATGGGATGTGGAAGAGATAGGGGTAGTCCAAAAACTCTCAGGAATTTTAGTGCCAAGAGAGGTGTTAAACATAGTCTGTTGACAGTTGGGGAGCCATTATGAATTTCTGAGCCATCAGAGAAAACAGGGAGAAATTAAGAAGGTGGTGTATGTTGCGGGGGGGTGGGGGGGGAGTAATTTGGGGTCAGAGAGCAGATGGAGGGAGATGAAGGGAAAGGGCAACACTGATGTCTCAGAGGGGCTTTTGTAAATGTTTCCATGCTTGTCTCTGAATGTACCTATTTAAAAGAGGTTTGGCTGGGCTTCCTGCATAGGGAATGAGGTCTCTGTGGGTGAAACCAATCCTTCTCCCCTTGCAGGGGACCATCTGGCCACAAAATCGGCTTGTTTCATAGCCTTGGAAGGAGGCTGACCTCATCCTCAGGCGGTGTGTGAGGGCGGGCACTGAAAGGTCCCCTTGTGGGGCACACACTGGGTTTCGGCTGGAGTCCTCACCCCTTTTGTTGGCCCGTGGAAATGCTTGAGGATGAGATTGACAGAGGGAAAAGAACTGGATACTTGTCATGGCCCCAATGGGGTGTGTCGCCTCCCACCCCACATTCTCGCCTCTACCAAGTAGACAAGAACTGTCAGAGTCACTTGGCCCACCGAAGTGTGTGGGTTGAGACCACGAGGCAGCTCTTGTTCAGTTCTTTGGTTTCCAAGTGTGGCTTGAATGTGAATCTCAGTAACAGGGAAGTACAAGGAGATGCCAGGCTAACTTCTTCCTGCTTCTCACCAGGGAAACAACTCTTTGCCATGAGAACTCCACTTGCTGAAGTCTCTCCTGCAGAGGTTGAATGGGGGCATGGTTGCACTACCTACTCTTGAAGCAGTTCCCCATCTCAGAACAGGAGTTACGGGCTGGGATGTAGCTCAGTGGCAAAGTGCTTGCCTCGCAAGTACAATGTACTGGGTTCAAACCCCAGTATCAAAACTAAAAAAGAAACAAAGGAGTCATTTTATTGCAGGCTGCTCTGCTGCTCTTGCCATTCATTGTATAATTTAAACAGCTACAAACTTGAGATACTAGATATACTTGCAGACGGGGGTTAAAATCATTGCTCTTAGCAGGATGAGCTTAAAGGATTTTTCTTTGCCTGAAAAATTCAGTGTCTTAGAACACATTGCATAGGGGTGAGGTAGGTTCATTTGGTTTGTATTTCTAGTTATTTTCACATTTGCTGTGCCCTCATGAGAGAAGAGGTACTAAAGGGAAATTTATGCATGTTAGTGGTATTGAGAGAAGATTATATGGAAAAGATGAGACAGTGAACTGAAGGAGTCCAAAGAATGGGCCTTACCCGAGTGCCTGAAGGGTAGGAGTGTGGCCAGGAGCTGGCGGCTCATGGTTGTAATTTTACCTACTCAGAAGGCTAAGATCTGAGGATTGTGAACTCAAGACAGGCTGGGCAGGAAAGTCAATGAGACTCTTATCTCCAGTGAACCACCAAAAAGGCCAAAAAAGGAGCTTTGGCTGACGTACAAGCCTTGAGTGGGAAAAGGTAAGGGTCAATGCCCAAATCCTGAGTTCAAGCCCCATTATTGGTGCACAGTGCACACACACGTGCGCATGCACACACAGACACACACAATCATTGTGTAGCTGGAAATGTAGCTCAGTGGTAGAGACTTGCCAAGCATGTGCAAGGCTTTGTGTTTGATCACTGGTACTGCAAAATCAGTCAGTCAGCCTTAACATGCTTTATACGGTTTTGTGTGAATTCAGTGATTTAACCCATGAAAAATGTTTAGAACAATACTTAACACATTGATTCCTCACCTCATACAACTGCATTGATAACTCTAGCATCACATAATTACTTCTGGTTTTTATTTGGAACAGCTTTATTAAGATACAACTCATATGCCACACGATTGATTGGCTCACTTAAAATATACAGTTTAGTGTTTTAGAGCTATGTAGCCATCACCACAGTCTTAATTTTATAACATT